CTTTGGAACAATCGGCCAAATGACTTGAGAATAATGCATTCTTATACAAGCCAAAGATGGACTTAATTTTGATTATTTTGTTGGTGGGATGTTAGGGTCAGTTGGGATTAATATTATGAAGGATACAATATTTCTGAAAACAGACGAGGGTAGCCGACAAATATATTTCTCATTTGGCTTTCGAACTCGTATTTTCTGCACGCAGTGACAAAGAGCCCACAAATAATCAAATGTTCCCAGGAGATGGATACGTTATTATGAAGACAATCTCTAGAACAGTGGTGTCGGTAGCTTCGTGGTTAGGCTCTCAGACTCACAATCATAATGGTCGAGAGTTCAAATCCCGTTAGAAGCCCAACGTTGTGTCCTTGGCAAAGGCACTTTACGCGAATTTCCCCCACTTCACCCAGGTGGGAATAGGTACCCAGCTTTAGACAGTGAAAGATCTTGTCAGTTTTTCTTCTGTTTGACCGCTTAATCAGCTTCTTGCACCGTATGCTTCTGCGGAATCTGAGAATATTTCTTAGTGTCCTATGGTCTGCTCGGGTAATAATTTAGTGTAACACGCATAGAGCTTGCTGTAGAGCGGGGATCTGCGCTATGCAACTGCTATTTAATATCATTATTAACAGTGAACATAACGCCCTTCGTGCTAAGAGGGCCATCCATGCTCCACAAGCTTTGTTTCATACATTTTCTACACGGCTCTTTTTTGTGACAGTCTGTGGACGGTCGCGGGATAAACTCAGTGCGCGTCGTTCCGGACTTTTGAGCGAACAGATCTAGGTCAAATGGTGGCCCCATTCAGGCCTTTATAATCGCGGGTTGTGTTTGTGATTTTGAACGCTCTGCACTGAGTTGAATGAAACACATCTGAGATGGGTGGTAAATTCAGAGGGCCCGTCTTTTACATAACTTTGCACTTTTGACAGGGGGGGTTAAAAATCGCAGTATTGCATAGCAGTCTGAATATCGAAGATCTAATTTGAAATAAATTGCATGTGTTTTATGCCCCATCAACACAATTAATATCATCTAGAAGGTGGGCAGCTTCAACCATGGCTACCATGGATGACCCTTACTGTGAGGGACACCACATCCCAGTGGAAAGATGGACATTCTCGATAATGTTTCTCCCCACACGGAAATCTAACTCACTTTTACGTGTCTAATTGCCACACCACAGACACCGAAGGGGGACACGTTTATTAAAAACTCCAAAGTTTAGGCATCTCTGAACACCCGATAGTATTGCTCGCCGTCAAAATAACCTATATTGTCTAGAAGCTCGCAAAAGTCAAACAAAAGGAAAACAAACGTAAATATCCTTCATAATAAGCTTTTAGAGTTATTTTTTCATTATAGTTATTCTGTGCCTACGTCTGAATGAAAATACCCCGTGTGTGTGTGTGTGTGTGTGTGTGTGTGTGTGTGTGTGTGTGTGTGAGTGTGTGTGTGTGTGTGTTTGTGTGTGTGTGTGTTTGTGTGTGTGTGTGTGTGTGTGTGTGTGTGAGTGGGTGTGTGTGTGTGTGTGTGTGTGTGTGTTTGTGTGTGTGTGTGTGTGTGTGTGTGTGTGTGTGTGTGTGTGTGTGTGTGTGTGTGTGCATAAGTATATATTGCATGAGAAAAAAGGAGGTAGTTAAAAAAGGTTTTGAAAATGGGTATTCCAATGTAAAGCTCATTGAGCTACTTTTTTGGAAATGCGCTATATAAATGTTACATTATTATTATTATTATTATTATTATTATTATTATTATTATTATTATTATTATTATTATTATTATTATTATTATTATTATCAAAAGAATACACCATGGCATCATAGTTCACTCCTAGGGGATGGCGGGCGTTTCAGGCCCTAACCAACATGAGAGCCCGCTTTATGTACATGGCGGTAAAGGGAGAGAGTAAGTAACTAACCATGTGGATTGTGAAAACAATACTACAATTTTTATCTCGTCTCTATTAACGTTAGGCTTTCATTGGAGTAAAGTGACGAATATTCAAACCCTAAAAAGCTACCTTACTCAAGGGACCGGCGTTTGGGGTGTAAAAATTGAAGTCTTCACTTGTCACCTGCAGAATGCGAGATCGGTTTCCGAGTAAGAAAAATAGCATTACATGTATTTTGAAGACCTCCACCTTTCAACCGGAACGTTACTAGTCTAGACTGTCTGGGTTGACTGACTTTGTGAAATCAAATGTTGAAGTTGCGCCCCACCACCCCACCCTCCCTCCCCCCATTTTTTCTTCTATATTATGATTTAAATTTTTGCAAAAGAAAAAGTTAACAACTGTACAACCAAACAAACGAAACAAAAACATAAAAAGGCAGTTGCCTGAGATTTGCTACGCATCAGCACGTGGGAGAAAAATAGCATTTTGTTATGTGATTTTGCTTTAGATCTAAATAATTTCTCTTTTTTTTAAATTTGCTGTCTGTTCCATCATCAGCTAATGTGTACCTCACGAAAGTATAGAAATTGGATATCTCTTCACAAGAGTTTCTTCGCTTCTTTTTTCCCTTGAGAGTTCCGGCTGTATGTTTATCACGTGCAATCGGAGAGGGAGGGGAAAAAAACCAGGTTGTCAAGAGCGATTTGTCAATCAAACTTCGTTTGAGGAAAGATGTGTTCTATGAATGAACTCTATTTCTTATGTTCAACAAAAAACATTCTCAAACTCAAATATCGTATTCCGATAATCTTACTCAATCTAACACAGAACATCAAGACCCAACTGGGTTAATCATATAAAAATAATTTTCAAAGAAACTGTGCGTTGTTTTCTGTTCACAGAAATCCTTTATACTTGTAGCGGTGTCCTGGGTGGGCAACAAATACTCTCTTATAATATCTAAGTCTCTAAACTAAGATTAAGATTTGGATGTCTTTCACGATCAATCCTCGTAATGAATCTTTAAAAAAAAAAAATTTTAAGCAACCACTATTCATTTTGCGTCAAAAGTGGACTTAGGCCCCCTCCCTCTCCCAGCTTAAGATTTGGATGTCTTTCGCGAATCTACCCTCGTAATCAATCTATTTTTTTTTTAAACAATATTCATTTTGCCAAAAGAGGATCTACGACACTCCCATCTCCACCCCAACTACACATACACTCAAAGCGAATAACTCAGCCCAAGATCCCTATCATATAATCAGGAACCTAGATGAGAACTTGTCGACAAATGTACGTAATATGTCAACTCATATTTACTCTCTTGTCCTTTATTTCCTTAAAAAGAAAATACCGAAACAAAAAAAAACATAAACAAACTCAAAAACTCAAAAACGCATTTTTTTCAAAGTTTGTAAGGATAATATTGCTCAAAAACTCAAAAAGATATTTTTTCTAAAGTTTTGTGATGATAATATTGATAATTTGCCTGCTAAGATTCATCTCCCTTGAGGATAAATTTTTACTCATTTTTTTGTCTCATTATAACCGAGTATGTCAGTCTGCCACTCATATAATCATACCTGAACCCATTTCCTGCCTCTCTGCTTCTCAGACAGACACTTTGAAGGAAAAGCCTAATGCAGTTCTGTTTGTAATAAATCTTTTTGAGTTCCTGCAAAACCTTAAATAATACAAGGTGATAATGGAAATAAACAACGTGGATTTTAAAGAAGCAAGAGGGGGAAAGGGCGATGGTGTGTGTGTGT